TAGAGGGACAGATAGCCACTTCTCACTCAGGCTGCGATATGACATCGGTGCTGTTTGTGCATAGAAAGCCTCTCACAAAGGGAGAGACTGGAAGTGCTAGAGGGACAGTCACATCGTTGTGCGACTGAGCCATCACGGGACATAAATGAGGAACAGCAATTTTTGGGGGGAATCTCCCCCAGATACTAACCCCCTTCCCAGGCAGAGGGTCCCAGACAACCTTTTAAAGACACTCTGAACCTTTCTGTTAGTATCTGTTCATCTGCTTACCCTCTTAGTAGTTTATGAACCCTTCAAGGTCAAAGATTATTTCCTAGAACATCAACTGGTACACATTGTTTGTGTTTAATAAATATTGGATGTTTATGGATTACACTGGCTTCCTAGGTAGGAAGGTCAGTGCACCCAAATGCACTGTTAAATATAGACGACCACTCGAAAGAGCAATGTGAGTGACTCATCTGTAAGATGAATAATATGAACTCCTAAAATAGCACCTTAGTCTGTTTGATTGTTTGGGCCACTTCAGGAAGCCACAGGACATTGCAAGGGACATATTGGATGCCAGGGAAAATGGATGTGTTTCATCAGGGCCTTTGATATCAGTAAGACATCATTTTCTCTGAAACCTCCTGGGTTTCCACCTGACCTTGTCACTAAGAGTGAATGCCACTGACAAGCAGCTCAGGGCAGGTAAAGACCACTGTGGGTTAATATGCAGGAAGGTAGAGAACACAGACCCAGGAGGAAAGAGGAGCATGGATTCACAGTTGAAGGAACAGGGCTCAGCATCAGACTGAAGTCTCCATCATGTCAAATGAACTCGATCATATAATACCTTGTTAATAAATCATGTTAAATGAAGTGAAATATATTTGATTTTTGGTAGGATTACATGGATCATTGAAAATTACCTATATACACATACACATATGTGTACACATGCATATATAATATGCAATATATCTTAATATATTTTTTCTCTGAAAGCAATTTTCTGCTTGGTTTTCCATCAAAGATACCTTAAAATTATTCAGTAAGATTAGAAACAGTTTTGGCAGAATTTGGTATGTCATTTTTGGCTTTGTGTTTTCTTTTTGAAATTCCGATAGTTTAGAGAATGGGATCATTACATGTTTGGTTTTAGGGTGATGGTTTCATTTTTCACCCCACAAATGCTCCGTGCATTTTCTGCTCTTCTCTAGGCTGTCACTAGAGGGCAGCATATGCCCATATTCAATAGAGCAGTCAGAACCTCAATTAAATATAATGGAATGGGGGAGGGGCAACTTTTGCTTTGCTGTGCTTTAGGAGCACACAGATTTTCATTTCCACTGGCTCTCTGTGTTTTACTAGTAATAATATCTAAATTGCTTTAAGAATAGAAATATCCATATACAGGGAAAATTATTATTGGAAGTAGCAAATGAATTAAGAATTCTAGAATCTTCAAATTGTTCTGTTGAACATGTGAATCCCAGAAACATACCTCCCACTTTCACTTCCTCTTTTATATTACTTAGTTTGTCTTTACTAGACTTCTGTGAAGTCAAGAATGAACAAATATTTGTGTTGATTTTTACAGAAATAAATATAACTGCCCAAAATAATCAAGTAGGACTAATAATATCAATTTTCTTTTTTAAAAAATTGACAATTATACATGCTCAGTAATTATAAACAGTTTGGGTATATAGAAAAACCCAAAGAATAAATATAACTATTATGACTAGTATCACCAGTAGACAGGTAAGAGAATAAAAAATGGATTCGGGGCCCAATATCAATCCCTCGGCATACAGGTTTTGTCGATGTCTTGGGATAGCTGTCAATATCAATTTTCACTTACCGAGGCCAGACCCTTTACAGATATTCTCTCCTCCCCCATCACCACCGCACAAGGTGGACATGAGTAGTCTCATGCTGAGGTGCAGAGACGGAGGCTGGCGGAAGGACTTGCCCGGGCCATGTGGGGATCACACTCAGCCCCATCTCTGCCCTGTGCTCCAGGCTGAGGACCCAAATCTAGGCTCCAGGCCGCAGCCTCTGCACTTCGGTTGTTTCTCTTCCTGTGGTTTAGCCTCATCTCCTTGGCTTTTGGTCACTCACTAAGCATTTGTTATAAATACTGTACATATATTTTAAGACACGCATTTTAAAAGAAGTTAAACAGAATCCACATGTCACATCCGACACAGGCCCTCTGTCCTCGGTGCTAGCTCTTGCGGCAACTTGAGAGCAGAAGACCTTAGGCTCTGGGTTCTAGCCCTGAGGTGGGGACAAGGAGGAGTTGGTTAGGATAAAGGTGTCAGATAAGGCAAGTTCCAAGAAAAAATTCTAGAAGGAGGTGGGATGGCCTGAGGGGGAGCAGAGCTGGAAAAGACTCCAGGAGGGAGCAGATGACTCAGCAGGGGGTCAACAGCCAAGGCTGAGGCTGAGGGGACCTGTGAGAACTGTGGGAACATGAGGTGGGCTTGCTGTTGTCACCAGTGCCCACCTCCCTTACCTGCCCCGTTGAGAGGGAGGGAACAAGAGACAGCGAAGTCCTGAGGGCTCCCACCTGCGGCTTCCAGGTGGGCACTGCATAAGAAAGATGTACTGCCGCAAAAAGCCACCAACTGCCTTTGGGTCAACCAGGACCCTGGCCACTTCTGTCTAAGCCACAGGGGAAAGGTGCCCCAGACATGGGGTCCTTCCCAATCTGCCTGCAAAGCACGCCCCCAAGACCGAGAAGTGAACCTGAGAAGAACCTGCTGCCTCAGCTCACGGTAACGGACGAACGGACGCGTCCGCAAGAGGGAAGTGTTCTCGGGAGCGGGGAGTTTGGATGGGAGCTCGTGAAACAGTAGGAACTGATTCATTAGCACAGGGAGTCGCTGTCATTCTTGGACAATGGAGTTCTGCAAGTGTTTGTGTAGAAAGGTTCTTACCCTCCCATTTGCTGATGGGCGATCCTGGCAGCTTAACCTGCACTACCATTCTTGTTCAGAAGAGGTGTTTCTAGCACAGTGCTGTAGAAGAAGGCTAGTTCTGTATTAAGAAAAATGAAGCCCAAAGGCTGCTAGCCAACCCCCCCAGCTTACCCAGGACTTATCTGCATGAAGTGGGGTGGGGAGAGACCCAGTCCTGGGACTCTGTGGGAACTGTCCCTGAGTGTGTAAGGAGAGCCTTCTGATGGAAGGTGTCAGAGGGGTTCCTCAGTAACACCGAGTCTTCCATTCTGGCCAGGAGACCAGACCCGTGGGGACTGAGTTTTCTTTCATTCTCTGCAAGTACAAAAACATCACCGAGGGCCAAGATTTTTCTAGTTTGTCATTTTGGCAAGCTCAATCTGACAACATATTTGTTGACTTTCTATCCCCAAATCATCTTTCCAGGTTTGCATCACAGAGGAAAAGGATACCAAATTTCCTTCAGTTTAGCTTCGTAAGCAAAACCTGACTGAATAATGAGGTCTACCCACTACCAGAGTGAAGGGGTGGCCACCCCTAGGGAAATACCCGTAATCACACAAAGGCTGTGAGGCGGGAAGCTGCTGGTTTAGTCCCGACTTCTGCTCTCCTGAAAGAATCCTCTGCTGGAATCTGCTGTAAATGGAGGGAGTTTAACTAGGTAAAGGAAGAGGGGAGCTGCTGTCTGCCTGGCGTTTTGCAACTTCCAGCATTACAAATGAGGGTGAGCTTCAGGCTCCGCCCTTCACTGTGCTCAGACAGAGGCTTGGACTGGAGGAATTACGTGGCATTTAATTTCCCTTCTCTTAAATATACAATTCCTTGGCATCTTATCCCACAGGTACAGCAGCCTTCAGGCTTGGCATATATTGTAAAAATCCAGGAGAATGAATCAAAATGAGGTCATGTGAAAATTTTACTGTCAGCATGACTCCTGGAAATGTGGGAAGGGAGAGTCCATGAACCTGCCTGCATCCTCCCAGAGTCCTTCCCAGTACCCTTGGGGCTAAAATAATTAGTCTGCACAAATCCTACCTCCAACCTACAGCCTCCAGTTGTTTCCCCACTAGGAAAGTAAGGGTGGAAAAGGTGTCGCGTCATGATGACTTCTGGGTTTTATCTCGCAGCTGAATAATTGCCCATATTCACAGTTTATATTTTTTAAAAGCATGTGTTGGAAATGCTAATAATATTCCCAAAGTTCAAAGTAAATCAAGATCAGTTCTTCCCTAAGTCACACACAGTAATTACCAGGAAATCCTAAGACTTTGCAGTTAAGCGGTGCCCTTTTAAATAAAGGCAAACCCTTGTATTATGCTGTGATCTCAGAAACATTATATGGTGTGTAGCCACCTCCACCCCCCAACACTACCCAGGGATAGCACCAGAAAGGACCAAACCTCACTTTATGAACCAAAGTGAGCAAAGCACAAGTTAACAACACCTCTCAGAAAATGATGAAATAATCACAACTCTGTCAGGGCTGCGTCTTGTCCTGCTCACTGGGCCTAGTGCCCAGCACGTCATGGGTCTGTGAATAAATACTGCTTAAATAAAACAGTGATATAACTTGCTGGGCTTTCTCTCTCTGAGGCCTGTCTCTGGACTAGTGGCATCAACCTCTCAGGCCAGTTAAAATAATAAGGCCCCTTCTAGTTCACTTTTAATTTTGAAATAGAGATTTTTATTGAGGTCTCACAGAGAAGTTGACAACATTTGATTTCAGCTGAAATGTGGGTATAAATCTGCTGCTTTCTCTCCTTTTCCAGTCACTGCTGTGTTTCCTTTACCCTGAAAAATTCCCTGCTCCCCATTTCTCTGGCTACTGCCTGGACAGAGCCCAGGGTCAAGTTCTTACCTGATGCTCAGTTGCTTCGGGGTCAGGGTACAGCACCCCATCTTGAAACTCATATGCTCAGCACAGGCATCACCCTTGCCCAGAGGCAGGGCAGGCCAAAGCACATGGGGCAGTCCGCCAGGACCCTGGCTAAGCAGGCAGCCCTCCCTGGGTCCTAAGAACACGTCTGCAGCGCGTCACCCACAACTTACCTTATGACCGTGGGGGTGATCTCTGCACAGAAGAACACACTGAGGCTTCCCACTGCGTGGGAGGCAAACATGCCCACGATGGAAAATGTAATGGAGAATTTGTCCTTGACACTGTCACTCATACCTGAAGGACAATCAGAAAGGGAGGGTGAGGAAGGGCAGACGGGAAGGGAAAAGGAAGCTAGTAAGGCCAGGGCGGAGAGAGCAGGAGGAGAGGAGAGGAGGGAGGCCTGGGAACACCTGAAGGGTCTTCCCTCCTCCCCACTCTTCGGTTTGAGGTGCAGACCAGGATGCTCAGTGTGTCCGGAGATGGAGGAGCACCCCAGAGGTAGGAGGTCAGACCTCTTGGCAGTGGACTTTACCCGGTTCCTGCACGTCCCCTGGGGGTCCTGAATGCGGGAGCACACGCTGACTGCCAGAACCCCGTAGGCCCGGAGCCAGCCTGGCAGGAAGGAAGGCTGGTGGTCTCTCCAGGGCCACAGCAACATCCACTCTATGCCAGCCTTCTGTGGTGGCTCCAGAGAAGGGTTTCTGTAGTCAGGGAGCCCCGGCTACCTGGGCCTCGGGTTTGCCCGGTCCAGTACACGGGACAGGGTGTCTTAGGCTTGATCAAATAACCCAGACAGAAGAATTTATGGGCCTGGAGGCAAAGGGCTCAACCAACCCAAGCATCTTGCAAATGGCACCAGAGTCTGACCTCATGCCAAGGTGGCACCTAGCATGGGACAATAGCATGCTGTCAGGGGTCATACATGTGGAGCATAGCTTAGTTCTCTGCAGAGCTGCATGGGGACCTCAGGGCTCTCAATGGCTCAGGTCAGGCCAGGCATGTGTGACCAGCAGCACTGAGGTGCATGGTGGTGGGGAGCAGCGAGCATGCATGACTCATTCACAAGGGGGACAGCAGCTTCCCCAGGCAGCTTGGTCAGCCAGGCCTCCAACACTCTCAGGCTTTCTGATCTTGCCCAGGTTCTGTCCCTAAGACACACCGCATCTCTGCGTGGGTGCCAGCGGGGGCCTGTGCTGACTGCTGGTGCCAGGGGAAGAGGCGAGGGCATGGGTGCAAGCTGGGCACGAGCAGGAGAACGAGCAGCTCTTTCTAGAGGCAGAGGGGGTAGAGAACACAGACGTATGCTTATAGTGTCCAACCTACGGCCAACTTCAGCTGCAACTCTTGGAGGGTAAGGGAGGAGGAGAAACAGAGGAGAGGGAAACCACAGGTGTGTGAGTGTTGATGAAAATGCCCATTTGGATGCAATACAAAGATGATAGTGTGTACCCGCAAGTGTCCAGGGCTCACCTGAATCTGGGTGCTGGCTGTACTTTCCGATCACTGGGCCATGGAGATGATGGCACCACACGAACGAGGATGAAGAAAGTGGGAAAGAGGGAGAAAGAAAGCACGTGAGGTATGAAGGGATCACTGTGTTTCCATGAGACTTGAGTCTCAGTGAATTCCCCTCCAGGTCTGGGCCAGTGCCAGAGAGACAGAGAAGACCTTAGGGGACAGTCCCAAGGCACTGGAATTAGCACTCTGCTAAACAAGCCCCTCTGGCCTCAGGTCCTGGGGAGAAACGGCTCTTCAGGACGGAGACCGCAGCACAGCTCCCTGCGCTCAGGCCTAAGCATTCGCGTTATCAGGTATAAAACTGTTCACTGCTGGCCTCTGCTCCAGGGCGCCTCAGTGCTGTGGGGCAGACCCGCACTGGGCGGCTCCCCTCTGCCCTGAGCTCTGATCCTCAGAGCCGTCCTGGCACAAGGTTCCTGTGGCATTCCTGCTCAGGGGAAAGGGCTCTGTGACACTCCCCAGGGCTGCCACTGCCCTGCACGTCCACTGGAACGTCCACTCACAGAGGCTCCCTGGAAGGGCTCTGCGGCCCGGCCCCACCGGGGAGAGGGTGGTTGGGAACCAGACAGCACTTATCCGGTTCCTGGGCAGTCAGAGCTGAAACCAAGACCAGTCCTCCAGGGAGATGCAGAACGTACGAGGACTTGCCCGTTAGAACAACGGCTCATGAGGTGCAAATCAGCTATCCTGCAGTCCAGTTTGGACAACCAGGCTGAGGGTGCTGTGTTTTTCCTTTCTCTTCCTTCCATTCTGGATGCTGACTTGTGCCTCGCCATATCACGCGAACCCGGAATACTAGAAGCTCTGCTCAGTGGTGCACTGGAGGGTCCCGGAGCACACTCCCCAGCCTGTGTTCGCTCTCCTTGTGGCGTGTGTCCCGCAGTGTCCAAGCCTGCCCTGGGAGGACCGGTTTCTTCCATGTGCGGAGGTGGGTGTTCGTTCATGAGGAGCTGTTCTGAGCTTGCCTATGTATAGTTGGAGGACTACATGGATTCCATAGTTTTCTTTAAATTATTTTAAACATTTTCTGAGAAATTCTTTGGCCCAAAGACAAGCTAATGAACTTGGGGATATCCACTGAAAAGCAGTGTCCCAATGCCAGAATGTCGAAATGTATTCCCCTTTAATTTCACAGGAAAGAAACAAGTCCTCAGTTTTTCTTTGTCAAGTGGTGAATCACAAAGAGACGGCCTGGCTCCTAGTGCAGCTATGCCCACCCTGGTGCAGTCAGGAAGGCTCCGAGTTGGAGCCCAGGGCTGGGTGGGGGAGGGTAGGCAGGCAGTCACCGTGCACATTTCAATTCGAGCAGTCCTTCCATGCTGCTGATTTGGGAATACCAGGTCACTGAAGACTGTTCTCAAGTCTCACCCAGCCCTTTCAAACACCCTCTGTTGTACACCAGCCCCCTCCACCCAGCCCTGCCCCACCGCGGTCCCGTTCCCCCAGCCCCACTCACGGTTGAGGAGCCCAAGCTGCAGGAGGGAGGCCAGGGCGGTGAGGATCATGAAGAGCAGCAGCCCTCCTCTGCGCCCCAGGAACCTGACCACCACACACATGGCCAGGCAGGATGCCAGGGCAATGCTGGCCATGGTGTAGTAGTCAGCGTAGAAGTTCTCTAGGAGCGGCACCTTAACCTCGTGGCCCATCATGCTCCTTGCGAAGCAGTGGTGGATCCCGTACCCTGTCAGCCTGTGGGAGAAACACAGAGAAGGCCATGTACGCGCGGGCATGCAGAAAAACAGGGACCGTGCACACCCTGGGAGGCCACTGTGTACAACAACCGGGAAATATATAAGCAACTCCATATGTAATCAAAAGCATGCTGCTACTGCTCTGGCCAGTGTGGGTCAGCGGTTAGAACATTGGCTTGGGCACCAAAAGGTCATGGATTTGATTCCTGGTCAAGAGGACCTACCTGGGTTGCAGATTTGATTCCTGGACCTGGTTGGGGTGCATGCAGCAGGCAGCCAATCCATGTATCTCTCTCACATTGATGTTTCTCTCTCTCTCCCTCTTCCCCTCCCTCCCTTCCTTCCATTCTCTCTAAAAGAAAATCAATGAAAAAAAAATATCCTCAGGCGAGGATTAAAAAAACAAAACGTGTGCTGCTACCATCAGTGACTGTGCAGGAGAGAGGCACGGGGAGAGGAGGCTTCAGGGAGGCGGCCCTCCCGGGGAGCACGGTCCGCAGGAGCCACGGCCAGCCCCCTCCCAGGCGGGCCCACGGGCTCAGGCCCAGCGCTCGCACTCGGGACTCAGCCAGCAAGTGACCGCCTCGGAGACTCCCTGCCCATCTTGTCTCTGCCTCTCCTGCAGCACTCGGGGTGCTGGGATCTTGAGAATCCATCCAGAGAATGACCTATTCAACCCTTTTCTGCCACTTGTCAAAGGCACCCAGAAGAAGCCAGCAGGAAGCCAGGCCAAATAATCTTAGAGACTTTGTTTCAGTTCTTAATTTACCTCTGTTTCCCGCCACTGGCCTGGGTCAGGAAAAGTGTGTCCATCTGCTGTGGACACATGTCCACTCTGGGAAACAGGAATAAATACGCATCTGTGCACACCCGGGGAGGCTGCAGCAGCAGTGACGCATGCCACATGGACTGTCCCCGGGCTGTGTGTGTGAAATGCTCGCATGCTGGGGGAGCCCATTGATCATGTCAGGGCTCAGCATCCATCCCATAACACCTCCCTTGCCCTCGGCTGCGCTGTGTGCTCTCATCACACCTTGAGGAGGCATCGGGCTCAACTGCAACTGACACCCGCCCCCTGCAGCAGATTCTGCCCTTTGCCCAACACACATTTCCACGTGGGAACTACTCAGTAGAGGACCCCACTCCCCTAGCAACTGAGATTCAGCTCGTCTCCTGGGGTCCCAGATGACTGCCTTTTCCTCCTGGCTTACTGAGGGCTCAGGGAAGTCTTCCGCCTGTCTGTTGTGATGGGGAGGAAGTCCTCTGACCACAAAGATAATTTTAAGATAACAAAGCCAGAGAGCTAGACACCCCCCAACAAGAATCACTAAAATGTCATCTTGTCTTTGTCACATTTTGTGTTTTTTCCAAAATACAACTTGAAGAACTCACTGTATTTAAAAAAAAAAAATTATTTTTTTTAATCCTCACTTGAGGATTATTTTTCTATTTATCTTCAGATAGAGTGGGAGAGAGAGAGAGGACACATTGACTGGTTGCCTCCCGCACGACCCAAGCAGGCCTGGGGATGAATCGCAACCAAGGTACGTGCCCTTGGCCGGAATCAAATCTGGGACTCATTGGTCCGTGGGCTGATGCTTTACCACTGAGCCAAACTGGCCAGGGCGTCATTCTATTCTTAATGGTCCTATCGGTCTAGCCAGTGTCTGCCCGAGATTGGACAGTGGTGTGGTGGCCATGCCCAGGGCCTATTCTGGGCCAGAAAGCTGAAGCCTGAGGTCTTGGGCCCTAACCAACGGGGGGCCATGCCGGTCATTCCTTTGTCTGGGCCTTAGTATCCTCATCTGTAGAGCAGGGTGTAAGATCTGAGTTCTTCCATGGCATTAGCAGTAGGACCTTTTGTTTTGTTTTAATCTATTTTTCCACCGATTTTCAGATAGAATAGGAGGAGGGGGAGAGAGAGAGAAACACTGATATGAGTGCGTCGCATTGATTGGTTATCTCCTGCACGACCCTAACCAGGGCCAGGGATCGAACTGCAACTGAGGCATGTGCCCTTGACCGGAGTCAAATTGGTGATTCTTCGGTCCGCAGGCCAACGCTCCAACCGCTGAGCCAAACCGGCCAGGGTGGCAGTAGGACCTTTTGTATCCTCCCCCAAATTTAATCAGGAACTCCAATATCGGGGACTGAGTAAATGGAGCTGCTTTAGTAGAAACAGCCACGGGGAGTGGTAGGACCACACTCTCTGACAGTGCAAAGGTCACGTGTGTGTGCAGCACGCAAGGCGTCCTGCGGGGCTGGGGGTGGCTGCCGGGGCTCTAGCCTTGAGGCTGGGGCGGGGTCCATATCTTCCAGTGGCTGTGACCTTCCAACCTCTGGTTAGGAAGACAGACTTGTAACACTTCGCCAGGACCAGCCAAGAGCAGAGCCCTGGGCAGGCCAGAGGGCCTGGCTTGGCCATAGTTCAAAGTCCAGCTGGGGAGGAGGAGGACCCTAGCAGCTCTTTTCCGGCCCCTCCCTGACCTCAGCCTCAGATGTTTGCCTCTGTGACTCACGAGTTCACACACAGGACCACGATGTTCTTCCATAGATTTCGGGTTCCCACCATCTTCACGATACAGACCTTCTTGGGCCTCCGGGACAACTCTTTCTCCAGCTCTGGGGAGAAAAACAGCCTGTGACCTCTCAGCAAGACCCGGACAGGCAGCCTCAAAGACAGCCCGTCAGGCATCATGAGCAGGGAGAATTCTTTGCTGTTGTTTTTTCCCCTTTAATCCAGAGGACAGAGCCTGGCTCTCAGGATACCAAATGTGGTCACAGACTCTCACTTGGCCACTCCGATTTCCCGGGGGTGTGCAGGGAGCTGTGGGCACTGTCAGCACACAGCACCTCCCTCTGCAAAGCCTCTCCTGGGAACCGGGCAGGACACACACCTAAATGATCAGTGCAGGCTCATCCCCTAGCCAGAAGTGTCCTTGGGGAATAATTCCCTACTGGGAACTATAAGAGAAAAAGAAGACTTAACCAATCGAATGGGTGGCCAGTGCTCTTTAAGATCATTAAGGCCATGAAAACAAGGAAGGACTGAGAAATTGTCGTAGACCAGAGGGGTCTGGGGAGATGGGATGACTAAATGCCATCCTGGGTGGGATCCTGGGGAAGGAAGAGGTTACTAACAGGAAGAATAGTGACACCCAAATACAGGCTGGATTGAGTTTGGTTAACAGTAGGGTCCCAAAGGCAGTTTCTCAGTTGTGACAACGTTACCTTGGTATATCAGAGGCTAATAAGGGGGAGACTGAGTCAGGGGAACTTAGAAATTCTGTACTATCTTTGCAACTTTTCTGTAAACCTAAAGTTATTCCAACATAAGTCTACTAAGATATTTTTAAAAAGCAGTGAGGGTGGGAAAGTCCCCATCTACTGAGGATGCCTTCGAGCTCAGAGGAAGCAGGACCGCGTCAGAGGGACCCGGGGCGGCAGCCCCCTCGGAAGAGTGCCCTTCCACGGCCCACAGCCCGCCCCCGGCCCCGCCTGACTTCTCTCCTTTTCTACCTCCTTCCTGCCATCCAGCGGCAGGAGGGTTGCAAGCCTCATCAGTTACAGTTTGAAGGGAAATATGTTGCTTAACCATAAGGATTTAGAAGTTTTTATTTAAATAATTTTTGGGGATCAGTACTAGCTGGGACACAGAAAGGAGAAGGAAAATCTTTCCTGTGGCTGAGGGGTACCATGCTACTTGAGTTTCCAGAACTTTTTCTTTTCCATATTTAGGTACACAGATTGAGGTCTGTGCAGAAGCCAGATGGCTGGCATTTCGCTGTCTGTGCATAGCCCCTCTCCTGAGGTCTTCCTGACTTTTATGTTTCCCTTTGTAAAAATGGACTAACTTGATTTTCAAACATACTTTCCCCATGGCTAAAAAATATCAAAAACTTTTAAAGAGTATAGAAATACTACGAGTAACAGATGATGTTGGATCCAATGACTCGAGTATCTTCACTTTTGTAAGACTTTCAGGAATAAACTACAAAAGCTCCACTTGCTCACCATGAAAAAAGTTTTACAAGAAGAAAACTTAAATGCCCATTAGCATGTTTATATAAGTTTAAAGGTTGTGTTTTCTTAATGTGGCCCAAACCTAACTACTTAACACATTACTATATATAACACAGATGTTGCTAAAGAAGCTGTAGCAATTGTAACTGTGACCCGATTTTTTAGACTTGGGGCAGTAAACTCTAGAGCCCCAAGTCTAAAGAATTGACTGCAGTCTACCGAGGTAACTGTATTATTCTAAATGGAATTCGATTAATCTGTGTGGGGCTACTGATATTTTGTCTCTTACACATATCAACAGCAACATCAACTTCCTCAGCACTAGGTCTGTTCTTTTGGGATAAAAATCCACCAGCTGAGTTATAGGAAACATTAGATGACTTCTGAGACCTCCTAAGGTAACTGAGTCGGTCATGGAATGAGGCCTTTCCATCTCTGGTTGTCAGACAGAAATCTCAGGGTCTCTGTGAAGTCCTTGCATGCAGAGCTGACTGGGGTGCGGGGCGGGGGCACCGAGAGCTGGAGACTCTGAGCATCAAGGAAACAGCTGTTAAAGCGATTCCTCTCCTGCTCTCTGCCTGAGCTCTTCAACCCTCGTGATTTCGAGCCATTAGAAACATTACAAAAAACAAATAGAGTGAAGTTAGGAATCTTCCATCCAAGCCTCCTACTTCAGCAGCCAGGCCCCTCCTCATTCTGCAGCCCTTTCTGCCCCTGTGCCTTTGCATTTCAGCCAGTCCCTGTGATGTACAACCAGAGGCACTGCTTTGGCAGGTCTCCATTCCTGACCTGGGGGCAGCGAGGGATCAACAGACTCAGCAGAGTTCCAGCTTTTGGCTTCTTTGTGGAGGGAGGTTCCTTGGGAAAGTTACTTAGTTGCTCTGTGCCTCAGTTTCTAATCTGTTAAGTAGGACAATGTTCCCACCTCAGAGTACTTTTTAAAAACTTATCTTTATGTTGACTGTATTACAGATGTCCCCTCCCCCTTTCTTCCCCCCATTGACCCCCTCCTTCCCAATCCTGCCCCTCTCCTGCCTTCCCCACACTATTGTCTGTGTCTATTGATTATGTATACAGGCATAGAAGTTCTTTGGTTTATCTCATCCCGCCCTCCCACCCCCTTCCCTTTGAGGTTCATCAGTCTAACACCCAATTCGTACTTCTTAATTCCTTCATCTTTTTCACCCATCCCTCCAGCCCCCACCCATCTGGCAAGCAACAAAAAGTTGTCTGTATCTATGAGTCTGTTTCTGTTCTGCTTACTTATTTTGTTTGTAGATTTAATTGTTGATGGATATGTATTAATTGTCATTTTATTGTTCATGTTTTTGTTCTTCTTCAAGAAGACCTTCAACATTTTATATAATACAGTTTGGTGGTGATGAACTCCTTCAGATTTTTCTTGTCTGGGAAATTATTCATATGTCCATCGATTCTAAATAATAGCTTTGCAGGATAGAGTAATCTTGGTTGTAGGTCGTTGCTTTTCATCACCTTGAATATCTCTTGCCACTCCTTTTTGGCCTGCAAAGTTTCTTTTGAGAAATCAGCTGATAGTCTTATGGGAACTCCCTTGTAGGTAACTAGCTGCCTTTCTCTTGCTGCTTTTAAGATTCTTTCTTTAGCCCTGGCCGGTTTGGCTCAGTGGTTAGAGCGTCGGCCTGCAGTCCTGAGAGATCCGGGTTCCGTTCCCGCTAAGGGCGCGTACCTCGGTTGCAGTTTGTCCCCGGCCCTGGTCGGTTGTGCGGGTGGCAGCCACTCGATGTGTTCCTTTCACATCGATGTTTCTCTCTCTCTCTCTCTGTTCCTCTCTCTCCCTCCCACTCTACCTGAACAAAAAAAGGAAAAATGTCCTCGGGTGAGGATAAAAAAAAAAAAAGAAAAAAAAAAAAAAGATTCTTTCTTTGTCTTTAACCTTTGGCATTTTGATGATAATGTGTCTTGGTGTGAGCCTTTTTGGGTTCATCTTGTTTGGGACTCTGTGCTTTCTGGACTTGTATGTCTGTTTTCTTCACCAAATTAGGGAAGTTTTCTGTCATTATTTATTCAAATAGGTTTTCAATTTCTTGCTCTCTCTCTTCTCCTTCTGGCACCCCTATGATGTAAATGTTGGCACGCTTGAAGTTGTCCCAGAGGCTCTTTACACTATCCTCGTTTTTTTGGATTCTTTCTTCTTTTTGCTATTTTTTCCTTCCTTATATTCTAAATTGATGGTTTGCTTCTTGGCTTTACCTACTCTACTACTGATTCTCTGTAAATTATTCTTTTTTTGGTACGTGCCTCTAGCGGGAACTGAACCCAGGACTCTCTGGTCTGCAGGCCAACGCTCCAACCGCTGAACCAAACCGACCAGGGCTAAATTATTCTTTATTTCAGTTACTGCATCCTTCATTTCTGAGTGGTCCTTTTTTATGTTGTTGATGTTCTCACTAAGTTCCTTGAACTTTTCACTAAGTTCCTTGAGCATCCTTATAACCAGTGTTTTGAACTATGCATCTGATTGATTACTTATCTCCATTTTGTTTAGTTCCTTTCCTGGGATTTTGTTCTTTTCTCTCATTTGGGACACGTTTTGTTGTCTCCTCATTTTGGCTGCTTCCCTGTGTTTGTTTCTATTTATTAGGTAGAGTTGCTATGTCTCCTAGGCTTTGTAGGGTAGCCTGTTGTAGTAGGTGTCCTGTAGGGTCCAGTGGCACAGTCTCCCTGATCACCCCAGCTGGGCCCTTGAGGTGTACCCCTAGTGTGGACTATACACCCTTCTGATGTAATTGAGTCTTGATTGCTGTTGGCATGTTGATGGGAGGGATTTACTCAGGCTGACCAGCTGCAAGGACTGGCTATGCCCACTGACCACTGGCCTTTTACTACCTTGGAGGGTCAGCTGTGCATGGGCCCACCACACGGAGCAAGACTTACTTCAGCAGGGTTCTGGTACCCACTGAGTCCACTCATTGAGTGTGTCACTTGTGGAGGTGGTTGAGTGGTGGTGCTTTGACATGGTCTGAAGCTGTCCACTGGGTGTGCTGGCTCTGGGGCCAGGTCAGCCACTGCCTGTTTTCTACCCGGGGCCACCTGGCATAAGCTACAAAGTGATCCGCAGATGGCTGCTTCTTGTGCTGGGCTTGGAGGTGCCCCAAAACAGCCAAATTGTGAACCAAGGCTGGCTGCTCCTAGTGCCAGGCCTGGGATCACTTAATGAGACGTATAGGGCTTGCTGAGACCAGATACTGCTTGTCTGAGAGATTTTAGAAAAATCTGAAGCAGGATCCAAGACAGGCCAATCCTATGGTAAAGCCATTGGAAACAGCTTGGGTGGTCCCAAAAGTTGGGTGGGGCAGGGCCTCAGGGAATCACCAGGGCGGGGCAAACAGTGTGAGCCAGGTTGCTGGAGTCCCAAATAGGGCAGCCGCCTGCTACCCAGGGGAAGGGTTCACCAGAGGAACAACGGCCTCTGCCAGCATGTCTGTCTGGGAGAAAGATGCCTCTCCAGCTCTTGCCCCCATGCCAAACAACTGAGTTCTTGTTGGTATGTCTCTGGTGCCTTTCAAGCTGCCTCCCCCATGCTGGAGTCCAGAGGGAGCTGGTCTGAGTAAGTCTGT